GAGGAAGAATTAACAACATTTTGACTAAAAAGTACTCTGATTTATTCAGTTTTTCCGTAAGAACTTTCGGCTAGGGATTAGGGCATACCTAAACACAACCAGGAGATCTTGGGCCATTTCACTAATGCGCCTATTTCGATGTTTACCCATTTGTTATGCTCGGTATTTCCCTCTTCCACTTCATTCTTCATACCCTTAGACCGAGCATTCTTTATGGGGTAGTGATGCATAAAGGAGCCCACACATGTCTCAGTCAAGCCTGTTCAGGGAACATTTCCCCCTTGGAGACCGATAAGATCCAGTCCTTCAGGAGCGTCGTAGTTACTGACCGCCTCTTGCCTAAGAGGCACGTTTAAACAAACATGTTTGCAAGTTAATATTTAAATTTCACTAATCTGTAGAATGTGTTGTTTGGCATAAGTATGCGTTTTGAGAATACTTTTTGACGATTTAGCGTAGTGACCCAGACTTCTTTAAAGTTTAAAGTAGAAGATCGAGGATGGGAGCTACTGAGATGGCCTTAATACCATACTACCCAACGCAAATCTAGAAGGGGAAGCATTAGGAGTCCCTTAAAAAGGAACCAAAGGTTAAACAAGAAATCAAATTGTCCCATTAGAAAAGGTAAACAAAAAGGTGTTGCGATATATGACCCAATCTCAGCTTGAGAAAGTGTGTATGGGTCGACTACAATTAAAAAATTGCTATTTAAAAATCATTCCATTGGTCCTCTTCTCCGTTTCGTTTAGTTTGCGGAAACTTCTGATATCTACGACAAAATTTCTTAATTTCTTGATGCATCACTTCGCTGTGAATCAAAGAAGACAACACTTCTAGCGTTGAATTCACCATTTGACTATCGTAATTCTACCGAACGCGTTAACCTTATAGCTAGCGCACGCTCCATAATGAATTACTGCTCACATAAACACGTCATTTTTTGTGCACACTTTATGATTTGTTCAACATATGAAAACCACTTTTTACGAACGTTTATAATTTTGAAAGCCCACTCAGTCTACTGATTGCAAAATACATGGGTGCGTATAGCCAAACTTGGATTAACTCCTAGTCTGCTGTGATTAAAAGAAAACCGGCAAGTGAGTTACCCGAAACCTCGGTGCCCTTACCCTTAAAACGCTGCATAGTATTTAAAGGAAGGAATTTAAAAACATGAAGAAACGGTAAAATCTGCTAGAGATGGATGGAGGTATTAAGCCTAAAAAGGTATTTGCGAACAAATTGCACCGCCTGAACACGTAACGTTAAGCCAATTTAGATTTAAATTATGGACAAGGTGTTGCTCTACTTTTGGAAATCACACAAACGAATCCAGAATTAGTCATTTATTTAACTTTTTATCCTATAAAACATAACCGGTTATTCTGCCCACAAAATCCCGCTGAGCCATTTGCCCGTTCCCATTCTCCTTTTTTCCACGAAGAATGCATTTCTTAAGAATGATTTTTCGACAATTTTTTTTAAAAATCCTAGTACTTCCTCCCACAACCTAAGAATGCAACACTTTAGGTGTGAACGCAAAAAGTCGTACTTGCAAATCGGAAATTATAATAAATTTAATTTATCAAACTTATTACCAAGTTGTCATATTGCTTTCTAAACTTTGAATGAGTCTACATAGTCTTGAGTGCTCACTTCCAGTAGCGCAACTCTCTCCTTTACCAACAATACAATCACCAAAGTATTATCTTTCAACATAAAATGTGACCCATCATCTCACTACTTACGGTCCAGTAAGATTTTCTAGTCATTTTTATAAATTTTCTAATAAGATTGTACGGAATGGAGGTTATCAAAAATGACATTTGCATTCGTTTGAACGCGTA